TCATGCTGTAGCATTTTGACAGCATTGGTCGACTAAAAGTAATTTTCACATCTCACCCTGAAAGTCATACACCCTAGCTTGCTTTATTAACTGTTATCTCCTGTTTTTAGTTGTATTACCTCAGCTCTAATTAAAGTCTTCGAATTCGCCTTCTGAAATCATTTCCTTAACCTTACTTTCTTTTAAACTTTTACTACGATCCCTGTAGACGATATCCGGTACTTGTACCACTTTTATTACTTGAAAGATGATATTGGGACTATTTGTATACTTGCTTGTGGTCCTGATTGTTGTTTGTGTCTGTGGTTTCACGGCCCATCAAAGCCCCCAACAATTAAAAGTAAGGCTCTAAATCTAAATTTATGTATCTCATTTATAACTCTTATTTCAAGGATTCATTACTTTAATGATAAATAAGGATTCATTACTTTAATGATAAATTAAACGTTCTTAAGTTCCAAGTCTCAACCTATTGAAAATCATTTTATTTTTCTTATTTTGTTTGCTATAATGTTAATGATTTGATTAATCACTATTTTGATTTTTTCCAACTTTTTTTTTATTGTTTTATAGATTTATAATTATTGTTATTTGTTAATTATTAATTTTCTCTTTCTTAATTGTTATTTGATTTAGGATTCTTTAATTTGTTATTTAATTTGGGTTTGTTATTTTGATTTAAGGTTTGCTACTAGTTTGTCTTTTATTTTTGACTTCTTGCCCTCTAATTTCTTGCTACTAACTATTAATGTGTAGTGTGTTCATTTCATTTGGTTTAACCGAAAATTAAAATATGTACATGACAATATGATGTCTCGGTTTATCCGAAATAGTCAAAAAATAATTGAAAACCAAACCGAATAAGTTATATTTATTCGGTAACTGAATCGTTTAACCCGGAAACCAAATAACCCGAAATCGTATTGGTTCCAATGAGTTATTTGGTTTCAGATTTTTTTTTACACTCTTAAATGTGCCCCCAATGATAAAAGTTTCTGGATCCGTCACTGTCCAGAAGTAACAAACAAAATCATATAACAAATGACCATTTAACTTCTTTTTTTTTTTTATTTCTTCTCTAATACAATTCATTAATACATTTTAAGACCTTATTATCTACTAAATTCTTTTTGATTCTTATTATATACTAAAAAATATCAGATCACTTTTATGTACTAATTTTTTCAATTACTACCGTATACTAAAATGATTGGTCCCCAAATAATTTTGAGCTCCTAGCAAAAACCCAAAGCAAATGATCATATTAACAATGGAAGAAGAGATATCAAATGGATCCGACCCAAATTGGGACTGGCGAAGGACCAAGACCAGTTATACTTTTCGTCAAAAAATAAGGCCTGGCCCGGGACCGCTTTTGGACCCGGCCCGAGACTGGCCCGATTTTTTAAAAATATTATTATTTTATTACCTATATCAAACAGTCATATGACCATTTTTCCCATTTTTGACCCCTTTTTTTCTGTTTCATTTTCCCTTTATTCACTATATACAAGTCATATGGTGTATGGGGGAAGATACCAACTTACAAACGTTCACAATTTTTGATATAATTCGTGATTTCGCAAAAAAAAACGTATTTTTAAGCGTATTTAATTGACTCAATTACATATATTCAAGTGTAGTAGAATAACACTTTTGTATTCTTTAAAAAAAATTCAAAAAAAGAAGATTTTGTAAATAATTACATAGGACCAATTTGGGCCCAACATAACCGGTTATAACGTACCTTAACCAGACTTTGGGTTTTTGGTTTGAAACCGGGACTGATAACGAAAATAGTGTTTGAGAACAAACCTAAACTTTTTGGGCGATGGTAGGTAGTGATGCAAGCGATTAGAATGGGAATGGGCAGTTAGGGGTGTTCAAACAAACCGTTGGACCGCTCAAACCGGCCGAACCAAGTCAAACCGGACCGTTTTTGGCGGTTTGAGCGGTCTGGCGGTCCGGTCTGGTTTGGAAAATAGCAAAACCGGGCGGTCCGGTCCGGTCTGCGGTTTGGAAACTTTTTTGGGCGGTTTGGACCAAACCGACCGCCAAATATATATATATATATATATATATATTATTTATTTATTTATCTATTTTAATATTAGCAAGCCCAACTTTTTTAACTTATTGACTATGACCTAAATTAATATAATCAAAATCGACGACTAAAACCATTAAACCATTGAACATATCGACACATTTGATATTGACAGTCTCCAAATTTTGAAATCCCTCAAAAACTCTATCAATCTATTGATCTTTCTAATCCATGGTTTGATTTCGGCGCACATTATCAAGACATCAACCAAGTGATTCAACCAACTTAGATTTGGCTTCTATTTTGTTTGGTCAAGACTTAAGAATTGAACCATTGAAGGTCGTGAAGTCGTGAATGTTATTACTCAATACTCACAGTAGAGTTGTAACTTTGTTAATTTATTTGTTTTCTAATATGTTATATCTTTATATGTTTGTACTTTGGATTGCCTCGACTTTGTACTAAAGAGCTGCTTAATTATTACATTTATTTGATTAGATATTTTTTTGTTAAAATGGATACTTAATCTAAAATTCTAAATTTTATATATATATATATATATATATATATATATATATATTTTAAGTTTAATATAAAGTCCATTAAAGGCCCAAACCGYCTAAAYCGGTCAGACCAGACCGCTTTTACTTGGTCTGGTTTGACCGGTCTGGGCACTTGATGTCAAACCGCTCGGTTTGAAAATTTTATAAACCGCCATTACGGTTTGGTTTGTGGTTTGAGGGGTTAAACCGCCCAAACCGGACCGCGAACACCCCTATGGGCAGTGGATGGATAAAATTTCCATCATTTTTTCAACAATTAATAACAAGGATAGGGATTTAAAGAAAGTGAAAAGTGAAACAAACCAAAAATTCACTCACATTATTACAATAATATATACTCAACTACTTATTTATGTCCATCATCTACGTAAATTAAATATATTTATTTATATTAACTAAGAAGCTGATGTTTTTCACCTAATCAGTGGGACATGATTGAGACCGACACGAAAACCATTATGGCCAAAACCTAGACCTTATGGTTCGTTCATGTATACAAAGCCCTTGTGTCTTGTCTTTACACGTAGAAAGGGTTCTACACGGACCATCATGCAACCAACCCTTCAGTTTGCACATAACCTGATGCCTTTTCGTTCTCGTGTCCTGAGCCCACATCAAAAACCGGACCCTTGTCGGTGATCTCTTCAATACGTGTGTCTTTGTGCTCTAAACCATGGTCTTCTGGGCTTGGAACAGAAGCTTCTTGCTGATTGGCATCTTTCGGGGACTCCTTATTTGGCTGCATTTCGCCTACATTTGCGTTGATCTTGATCTGGTTTATCAAAAGGTTGAGCCACAACAAGAGTTCAACAATATAAGCTTCTGTCGTCTTTTTGTCTGCATGGTTAAGTGTTTCGATCCGGTTTATATCATTCAGCCCATTTGGTTTTCGCCCTCCTCCTGAACTGCATAAACCACAAGCCACATTCGTTTTTCATGAACCCTTGTGCCTTTTCATAGCTTCATATGGTAAACAGTATTCCGATGCCCATTCACTACAACAAAATCGGCTTTACAGGACGTCAAAGATATCTAAATGTCCTAATAGATTGTTTTATATGACTTATATTTATAGGAGCGAACAATTGTACGTCCTATATAAAGGTGTTACAATAAGATGTTAATCGTACTTGAACATCCTAACAAGTTCTTATTTGAAATAAAACGTCTCAATAGCTTGTTTATGACACTTTTGAAAAATATCCTATAAACACGTTGTTTATAGATCACTTGTTTTTACAAGACAATCTTTCAAATAATTTCATATTAAACGACTAGACGCTTTAATCCAAAATTGTCCTAAAAAACGTCCTATCAATTTATTGTAACACATCTATATAGGATAGACAACTGTTTGCCCCTATAAACTTAAGTCCTATTGAGCAGTCTATTAGGACACTTACATATAATATGGCGTCCTATAAAAAAAATTTGTGACTCACCCGGTGTCTGCCCACTCGCCAACCCAACCAAAACCATGATGAGCCCTACAGAGAACACGAAACAAAATGAGAAAGAGAGCGAAAAAATGACTGATTAATGCCAAAATCATGATGAGATCAGTTTACTTTGCTGTGTTTATGGCTACTGGAGAAAGCCAACAGAGAGTTTTTTCCATTTCCGCTTTAATATCTGGAACATCGAGCTGCAGGAAAAAACGTATGGTAAGATTTTAGTATGTAATTAGCTAAATCATTAGGTGGAGACTATTAGAACATTTGGTGCACCTCTTTTCCAACACGAAATGAAGCTACTTTGGACCGAAAAGAAAATTCTATATCAGGCGGCAGGCTTTGGTATAATGTGCTTCGTGCCATGGAAGTCATCGGGCTGCTTCGAGAAACCTGATCAAATGAACAACAAACCCGAGTGAATTTAAGCAAGATCTTGCATACAAGTAGCGTAGAACTGATATATAAAATGCTAGAAAGACGATAAATGAAGTGCACCAGATCTGCTTTGAAGCCATTCTATTCCTAGTTGAGTTGCTCTAAGAATCGAACGACTTTTGTACATAACCAACACTACAACATAATTGCTTTTATAGAACGCCAAATATGTCTAAATGTCTTAATAGACTGTTTTATAGGACCAAACAAATTGTGTCCTCTATAAAGGTGTTACAATAGAATGTTAGAATGTATTTCAAAATCCAAACAAGATTTTAGGACACTTCGGAAATAAAGCGTCCTGTTAGCTTTTTAATGGACACTTTTGAGAAGTGTCCTATAACCGCACCTTTTCACAAGAAATTTGTTTTTATATAATGTCAAATATAAAGACTAATAAAACGCTTTATTTCAAAATTGTCTATAAAACTTGTTAGAACACCCAGAAGTATTGTATCAACTTATTGTTACACCTTTACATAAGACACACAATTGTTTGGTCCTATAAACTTAAGTCCTACAAAACAGTCTTTTAGAACATTTGGACATATTTGGTGTCCTATAAAGCTGGCTTTGAAGTAGTGTATAATGCATAACCAACTTGAGAGCAAAGAAAGAATATGGAGATAAATGTGTGTACTCACGATTGTGTCGATCTGAAGGACGATATTAGCATAATGCAATGCAAGACCAGCAGGTCCTAGTGTATGTTGAATGCTTAGACTTTCACTTGATGCTACATTATCATCTACATCGTCAAGAACTCAAGGACATGAGTACAAACATACATAGAGATATTCATCAAACGCAAATTAATTTATTTGAAATATCGTACACCAACAGAATAACAAAAAATGGACTATCTGTATCAAACTTGAACTTTTATGGAACACCATGAACATACAACAAAGTTCCCAAAGGAGTTCTCCCCTTTGAAAGAGCATAACAAGATTCATAAATCTCGATGTAGTTTGCAACAATATAAACTAGAGTTTACGGTTTATGGTTTATGGTAACATAGTGTCAGCAAGTGTGTCTTTCGATATTATTAATATTGATTCAAGACTTCAAATGGAGTAAAAAGAACGATTGCTTATTGATACTCTCTCTGCCTCCCATGAGATTTGGAATATCATAGTTTAGCTAAAAAAAATTGGCTGTGTCCAAAATGCCCTTGAATAACGGAAATCTGAAGCTAAGAACTAGAAACAAGACGAGGGGGGCATACATGCTGATTCGAAGGCATTTCTTATCTGGCGGTTTAGATAGATGACGGTATCAGAAAGCTTTTCCATAACCTGCATCACATAGTAAGCTTGGTCCATTAATGTATATGGATTCGAACGTAATTAAAATTTCCATTTGAAAGTCGAAAACATAAAAGAGAGATCAACGAGTACATCTTCCATACTCCTGGACCAGAGTGACTTTTTCTTTAGAAGTTTTACTTGCTTCTTTTGGCTTTTCAGTTCTTGCCTAATAATCACAAGCTCACGGCCTACAAAACATTTCATACTATCAATCAGAAGAATTTATAAAGCATATAACAATGTTTCCAAAAATGGTATGACTAGGAATGTGCTATTGAAAAGATAACTGAAGATAGGCGACATAGAAAGCATCCTTCCATGCACTCCTATCTAAGGTCAACTCCTTTTACCTACTCCCTTTATACCAAAGAGAATGCACTACGTTCCATTTTGGGTTGGCTCGAACAAGCGTAACATCTTGTAACCATTACTTGATATTAGTAAATCTGATAGTGGTGCACAAGTTTTTCTTATTAGGACATCTGTTCTAATGTGAAACATTTTGATTAAACTATGTGCCAAGTCAAACAGCACGGAGGAGTAGAATGGTAAGAACAGGATCACAACATTTACAGTTCCAAATGCCATATATGTCTTTAGGTCCTTCCCTTTTTTGTCCCAAATCCATTAAACCGCCTTCAAGAGTGGGAATGACAGGTAAAATCATTAATGAAAGAAACAAAATAATGGCACGCGTTTATGGTTTAACAACAACAAATACAACTAAAAGTATACGAAAAAGGATAAGAAGTGACCTTTTGAAACAGAAATTGAATTATCCCCTCCTTGATGCTTCTGTTGATCATCTTGCTCCAGTTTGTCCAACACGCATAATTCCCGATACAAATCCTGCACCTCAACAGGTGATGGATCAATCTTTCAAGTATAATACTCCAAGGCAGAAACTAATATGCACAATTGAGAACAAATATTGCATTTCAATTCAAATTTGAATATAATCAGCTTCAATTCTAGAAAATAAGAACATAATAGCCAAAAGTCGAGAACAAACAAATGAATACCTAAACAAACATATACAACGAATATATATTATCAGCATATAATAGGCTTATATAATTAATGTCTTTAAAACCACTGGATCACAAAAACTGGTCGGACTGAACCAAACCGGACCATTTTGGTTGTTTAACTGCCCGGACCACTTATTTACACACACACACACACACATATATATATAGACTTGGGATCACGTGAGACCAACCTGTTTTCGTGAGACCCGTGAGACCACTCTTTTACACTTGAAACTTCACAGTGTTTTTGCTGTAAAGGTTTGGCTTTTTTTTTTACCTTCACAGCGTTTTAATGTGAAGTTTCAAGTGTAAAAAAATGGTCTCACGGGTCTCACAAAAATAGGCTGGTCTCACGGGTCTCACAAAAATAGGCTGGTCTCACATAAACCCAATCATATATATATATATATATATATATATCTCACTTGGTCTCTTATCTTCTTGCTTTTTCTTTTACTTATTCATTATTTTGTTTACTGATTTTACTGATTTAACAAAAAAGATATTAGGGTTCTTTTTAACTTCTTTCTTAATTCTTCTTCACATTTGGTGTATGTATGATGTATGGACTTGGAATATGATTGATTAGTTGTGTTTTACTTGCATTTTTAAGCTATATTTTGATTTGATTCAGAAATTCTATTAACTAATAGTTTAAAGCCCAAACCTCGTAGGCCTTTCAGACCATACCACATTTTTGTGGTCTGGTTTGACCGATTTGATCACTTCATGCCAAACCGCATGGTTTGAAAAATTCTCAAACCGCTACTGCAAATACCCCTACTCATTATCCAATTAAAATCCTGATATATGTTATCCCTTAGAGCCTTGAACTACCATTTGCTTATAACAGAACTTGCAGAATACAAGTTCCTACTTCAAGACAGTACTATAATTATGAGATGTTATTGACTTATTGCAAATTACCCATGGTGCCATGTTATAAAGCATTTAGGGTGCTTTTGGTACATGGGATGGTACAAGACTAGGCAAAACAAAAACTTGTTGTCCCAAATGTTTGGTGAATCAATGAGACCAGTATTGGACAAGATTGAGTGGGACAAAAAAGCATTTTTTATCTCACCAAAATAGGTGGAACAAGAATCAGGGAGATGGAACAATCTTCATAAATTACTAAACTACCCATATCAAATTAAAACCCTTCACAATTCTTTCACCCACCTGCCTTACTCTCACCATCTAGTCCAGTCCCATCCATATACCAAATGCACCGTTATGGTTCTCACTCTCATACCCTACAACCCCCACCCACCATTTATACAAGACAATGGTCAGATGTAACTATGTAAGTATGCTTTGGTATCATAAGATAATGCACCACACAGTCAGTAGGTACGACAACGCTGTGCTGAGGCTGAATCAGCAATCCAGCTGGGGAGTATCTAAGTCTTTTATACGTGAGAATACATCATGAGAAGAGTTGTGATTACTGCTGGAGACAGAATATATTTCAAGGGTTTTGGATTTTGATTACTAAATCCTTATCTCTGATATCATGTAGAACAATAAGTTGTGATTTTGTGTTTGTTATTCAAGGAGAACCCTGTTCATACGGAGTATATGATCGACAATTGGACAAGCATAAATAGATAAACGGAAAGGAAATAAACATACTTAACAGAGATTGAACTTAACGGACTACCAACAAGGTGGATTGTTATTTGTGGTGTATAGACAGGCTTTAGGTACACCTATAGTATCTACTTGTTCCAACGTGACGGATGTGACTTTTAGTAGTCAAACCTGTCTTGAACATTTTTATATAGGTTTCTGATATGTAATACGCATTAGTTGAATTCTAAATCTCTAGAAAATTCAACTTCCATTTTCTATGTTCCTTCTACTCATGATCATGTTCCCAATTTGGATCCTTGGTACTAATCGCAAAAGGGTTTTCCTTATGATCCCTAAATGGGGAAGAAAGAACTTATTCAAGCTTTAAGGATTAGATCTTTTACTTTTATAGATATGATTTGTGCCATGATGTCAAAAAGGATGATATCTATGCGAGAGTGGGTTAGGAGTTGTGGAAGGTTTTAGGGTTATAATTTGACATTGGTAGTTTAGTCCCATCTCCCTGATTTTTGTTAAAAAAAATGCATTTTTGTTCCACTCAATCTTGTCCAATCCCAGTCTAATTGTCCTACCAAACTTGAGACAACACCTGTCATGTACCGTCCTCCCGCATACCAACACACCCTAAAAGATCAATCTAAGCATATAAGGATGGGCATAAAACAAAAGCCAAAATATGGGTATCTGTTCATTGGTGAAAGAAGATGCTTACGGCTGTATGTTGAACCAAGGTCAGCAATTGCTGCATCACTACTTCCGGATCTGCCTTCAATTGCTTAGGACGGGTAAGTCCCCTGTTCTGTCTGAAAACACCAAAATATGCAAATAACCGAGTGAAAACTATGTAAACTTGATAACAAGATATTCTATAGCAGAAGAAAAATGCACACGTTACTTCTCAAAATAAAGGTCCAAGTTGTGCCACTGAGGATCTTTACATCCATTTCCAAAACGAACCACTTCTCCAGTAAATATTTTCAGCTGTTCCCTACAAATCCATTTATCAATGGCTCGTAAACAGAACAGAAGGAAAAGAAAAAGGATTTTTATAATTTAACAATGATTTATGAACCTCTTATCAGCAGCAACTGTTCTTAAAAGCTCATCCACATCTTTAGATACTAAAGTTTGCACGCCTTCAGAAACAAACACGACTTCTTTTAAGTGCCTTATATTTCTATTTGAAAGAGACTGCATAAGGCTGGAACCTTTCATGATCGTATTGGCAACCTCAAATGACAAAATAGATAGTTCATTGCCTTTCGTTGTTGGCCCCGTGACAAAAGCACTGCCCGAATTTAAATTTGTCACACTACTTCCAAGCGTATCCAATACACCGACAGCCTTTTCTATCCCTAAGCTACCAGCTTTGCGGGCACTGACCTGAAAGCATGCACAACTACGTAAACGGTCTTGTATATATTGTTTAACCAAACCAACACACAAGTATGATTGTGTCGCCACCTTCTTGATTTTAAGTGAAAAAAATAGGTGATAGTGATAATACGATGATATCCAAACACTACAATAAAATCGGCTTTATAGAATGCCAAATATGTCTAAATGCCCTAAAAAACTGGTTTATATGACACTTATTTTAATAAGACATTTTTTCAAATAATATTATATAAAACAACTAAGAGGATGTTTTTATTGTTGGAGAATATACAGCAAGATGCTATATCACATACATCAAATATACAACTTTTCTTATTAGAACATGCCTTATGTACAGACACATTATCCCTATATAATCTAAAAGACATCAACAAAGTGATGCGATGGTTCAAGGAGATGGCAGTTACATCCATTCCAACCGACCCACCTGTTGTAACATAGATAATTAAATATATATAAAAACTAACTTGACTTATCTAGCTTACTATTTTAACATTCCCCTGTAAGCTAGATATCTTTCATTCTAAGCTCCTTCTTAAAGTGTTCGAAAACTCCAACTTGCAAAGCTTTGGTTAGTATATCGGCAACTTGTTCTTTGGTTCCACAGAAATCCACTTCGACCTCTTTATCTTCAACTAATTCTCGTATGAAGTGGTACTTAATCCTGATATGCTTACTTCTGCCATGGAAGACGGGGTTCTACATTCGAGCAATTGCTGAGTAACCTTATAATATAAAGAACAGTGTCTTTCGATCATCGTTAGTTGCAGAGGTCTGTTCCATCTTTAGATCTTTCAAAACGCCTCTTAACCATAAGGCTTGACATCCTGCCATAGAAAGGGCCGTATATTCCGCCTCAATGGATGACAAAGCAACCGTTTTCTGTTTCTTTGACTGCCAGGATATAGCACCAGATCCAAGGCTGAAAACATACCCAGTTGTACTTTTGCTGTCATCGAGATTGCTTGAAACATACCCAGTTGTACTTTTGCTGTCATCGAGATTGCTTCCAAAATCACTATCCCATAATCCCTTTAGGTTCGGATCTTGAATCTTTGCATACATGATACCATGGTTGGTCGCCATCTTCACAAAACGTAGTATCCTTTTAACTGCCTCCCAGGGACTTCGTTTAAGATTCTCCATATATCTACTAATCACACTAACAGAAAACATGATGTCTGGACGAGTTGTGGTTAGATACATCAAACTACCTACTGCACTTCGATACAATTTAGGATCCACACACTCTTTCGGCTTATCCTTAGTTAACTTTAGTCCAAACTCCATAAGGGTCGATGCAGGAACAAAATCGATCATATTAAATTTAATTAGTATGTCTTTAGCATATTTCTGTTGTGAGATCATGATTCCATTTTCGTCTTGTTTTACCTCGATGCCCAAGAAGTAATGAAGTGACCCCATATCGGTCATTTCAAACTCGTCTTTCATCGAATTCTTGAATGCTTGTATCATTTCAATCAAGTTCCCGGTAAAGACAAGGTCATCAACGTAGATGCATACAATAAGAAACATACCTTCAAGGTCTTTGATGAAGAGAGTGTGTTCATACACACGTTTTGAACCTGTTTTCATGGAAGTATCCTTCAATTCTGCAATACTAAGCCCGAGGGGCTTGTCTCAGGCCATATAAGGCTTTCTGTAGGTGGCACACCTTGTTTTCATTCCCTTTCTTGATATACCCCGGGGGTTGATCTATATAAACATCTTCTTCGAGAACTCCGTTTAGAAAAGCGGACTTAACGTCCATTTGATGGAGAGTCCAACCTATGTGGGAAGCCACTGCTAAGACTAATTTGATAGTCTCCATACGTATTACTGGAGCAAATACATCCTGAAAATCTATCCCATGTTTTTGTGTGTACCCTTTAACCACTAACCTTGCCTTGAATTTGTCAATCTCTCCCTTCTCATTTAACTTATTTATATATATCCATTTCACACCGATTGATTTGTGGCCTTTAGGTAATTCCACTAAGTTCCACGTACCGTTCTTCTCTATCGCCTTTATTTCTTCATCCATTGCATCTTGCCACTTTTAGTCCTTGCATGCTTCTTCATAGTGTACTGGGTCGGCATCAGAAAAAGGTACAAAGTCTGATATGTCGTCCAGATCCAATCTTTGAGTGGTTTCATACAAGTCGCTCAAGTTTCTATATTTTCTCGGAGGAGATTCAGGGCTCAATGATGAGGAGGAAGAGCTTGCGACATGATTTGAATGAGGGGTAGTAGGTGGTGCCATAGCAGCAGATGGTGATGGTGCCACAGTAAGTGGTGATGGCAGATGATGGTGCCACAGTAGGTGGTGATGGCAGATCAGTTTCATCTTCGTGAACTTCATTTGTAGGATTTTGTAATTCATCATCTTTTATCTCCACTCGAATTCCATCGTTATTCTCGATAGGCCCGTCCCAGATTTTGTCTTCATCGAATAGAACATCTCTACTAATTATTACTCGCTTAGTGAGGGAATTGTATAATTTATATGCTTTAGATTGATCGTTGTAACCTACAAATATCACTTTTTCTGATCTATCGTCGAGTTTGCTTCTTTTCTGCTCAGGGACATGAGAATAAGCCAAACAACCAAATGTTCTCAAATGACTTACTCCAGGTTTATACCCGTACCATGCTTCTTGAGGAGTGATGCTTTCAAGGGCTTTGGTGGATGCTCTATTCATCAAATAGGCAGCGCACGCAACTGCTTCAACCCGAACATATCAGGTAGTTTCTTACTCTTAAGCATGCTCCTTGCCCTCTCTAATAAGCTTCGATTTTTTCTCTCGGCTACCCCGTTTTGTTGGGGGGTGTAGCGTGTAGTGAGTTGATGATGAATTCCGTTGTCCTTTAAAAACTTTTGGAATTGATTTGAATTAAATTCCCCTCCACAGTTGGTTCTTAAGCATTTTATCCTTTGATCACTTTGATTTTCGACAAACGCTTTAAAGGCAACAAATGATCCAAACACTTCAGCCTTCTCTTCCATAAAATACGTCCAAATTTTTCTGCTATAGTCGTCAATGAACGTTAATATGTACTTGCTTCCTCCTATTGAGAGCATCCTCATTGGTCTGCATACGTCTGAATGGACAAGTTCTAGTATCTTTGATGCAAGCCATGCCTTTTCATGTGGGAATGCTTCTCTTGCGTGTTTTCCCATAGTGCATCCTTCACATATTTCATTTCTTTTGCTTATGCTAGGCATTCCTTGAACCATGTTATGTCGACACATATACGAAAGTGAATCGAAGTTGACATGACCATAGCGGTGGTGCCATAGCAATGAAGCATTTTGACTTATCATATTAAAATTAAATAAATGTTCATCTTGAAATCTTATAGAAAACATTTTATTAGCAGACATGGGTACCTTTACTAGGAGTTTCTTGTTTCCATCCTTAATTTCGACTGTTCCGTTCGAGAAGTGAATGTCATATCCTTTTTGTAGAAGTTGTCCAACACTTAGTAAATTGTGTTTAAGACCAGACACGTAGTACACATTTGGAATCTTCTTACTTCATTTGTTGGTCTTGATTAAGATGTCACCATTCCCTTGCACATCGAGTTTCTTGTCGTCTCCCGTTCGTACTTCTCTTTTTATTGGATCATCAATTGAAACAAATAAGTCTTTATTTCCTGACATATGGTTGTTGCAACCACTATCCAAGTACCATACTTCCTTCAAGGATTGTTCCTGCATTTCTAACAACATGAACATAGACTCATCTTCCATGGTTTCTTCCAATGTGCATAAAAGTTGTACCATTGCTTTCTTCTGCGATTCTTTTTCTGCAAAAGCGTAACGTATGTCCAAAGTTTTGACAGTGGTAGCATTAAATCTGCGAAAATGGTTTTCCTCGACCCTTTCCTTTGTTACTTACACTTTGATCGTTGCGCTTTTCGCTTGTGTTCCCTTGATTATCATATTGCCGTTGGAATGCGTGTTCCAACGGTTGTGTATCGAATTGTTTGATTCTGAGTTCGTGTGACTGCAATATCCCTAACAGATTTTCAAGGGAAAGTTCGGATATATCTTTCGATTCTTCGATTGCTACAACGATGTATTCGAACTTTCTTGTTAAGCTTCTCAGAATTTTTTTCTACCACTCTTCGATCGTCGATTGTTTCACCGTTCAATCGCATTTGATTAGCAATATGATCACTCGGCTATAGTATTCTTCTATGCTTTCAGTTTCCTTCATCTTTATGTTATCGAATTCACATCTCAAAGTCTGCAATCTTACTATTTTCACTCGCTCTTCTCCATGATATGTCCTATAGAGGGTGTCCCATGCTTCTTTTGCTGTTCTTGAAGAGGATATGCGTTCGAAGATGTTTTCGTCCACTGCCTGAAATATAAAGAACAGTGCCTTTCTATCTTTTCTCCTATGCTCTTTATCTTCGAGGGTTTGTAGGGTTGTTGTTCCTTCTACCGGAACCAATTATGTGTAGCCATTTTCAACAACATACCAGAGATCCTGCAATTCGTACAATAATCGCATTTGTATGTGACAGTGATGATAATTTCTACCAATTAATTTCGGTAATTGGGGTTGTGATGTATTGTTGTTTGCAGCGTTTGAAGCCATCGATAAATTGGCTCTGATACCAATTTGTTGGAGAATACACAGTAAGATGCTATATCAAGTACATCAAATATACAACTTTTCTTATTAGAACATGCCTTATGTACAGACACATATTATCCCTATATAATCTAAAAAGACATCAACAGAGGGATGCAATGGTTCAAGGAGATGGCAATTACATTCATTCCAACCGACCCACCTGTTATAACATAGATAATTAAATATATATAAAAACTAACTTGACTTGACTTGACTTATCTAGCTTACAATTTTAACATTTATTTCATAAGTGTCCTTACCAACTTGTTGGGATGCCCAAAAAGGTCCTATCAGCTTATTGTAACACACTTACATAGGACGTGCAATTGTTTGGTCCTATAAACTCATGTCATATAAAGCAGTCTATTAGGACGTTTAGGGCATGTTTGTTAGCAGCTTAATGAGCTTAATAGACTCACAGCCTGTTCGATCAGCTACACATGACTTTCTGGTAGTGGCTTAATGATAAAGAAAGAAGGGGTTGTTTATGCGGAAAATCAAGTTTTTTCCAAACCTGCCCCTTTTAATTATCCATCTAGATTAATCCAAACCAACATTTTTATCCATGCGATAACAGGACTTGATGGAAAACCAACCAAACAACCGCCTTAGACATATTTGGCATCCTATAAAGCCGATTTGTCGTAGTGAAATATTTTTATGATAACAGACAGTAACTTAAAATTAGCATATAAGCTAGAAACACCGAAGGAACTTAAAAGTAAAGCTTGCGGATAAAAAGAAGCAAATTTGCAACATTTCACCTACCCTGAAGCCTCTAGTTCTTGATTTTTCAGACAAAATCGCTGGGACGCGAGGGATCCCATCATAAAATTCATCCTCTTTGCCACCATATCCAGAAATGCTCATTTTAGGAATAGAAACAGGCTCTTCCATTTGCCTTTTTTCGAGAGTGGAACTATCGGTGCTCGTTGTTGAAGGAGTTGAGCCACTTTGCAAATTCGATTGCTTCAACTCATGTGGCTGTACCCCTGTACCATGATAGCTATATGCATTAGCACGTGCATTGCCATATGATGACCCCTTTTTAGTGGTCGAACTCTTCGAAGAACGCACTCCCATATCTTTATCGAATGCGAAGAAAGGCTCTAGGAACGTTAGTTCCCCTGGAGATAAACAGAAGACATTAGGGTTTCATATAAATAAGAAAAACATTCTCCTAAACTTTCCATGAAGGTATAAAGATTAAGTTTTTGAATACTTATGATGTTTCATCTTATGTCCATTGTTTATCTGTCATCTCCTACAGCAATAATCATAAAGCGGAGACACATACACAGAGAAATGAATTTAACGACAGTCTTCTTCAAAATGAATGAAATTTAGCAACAAATTTAAAGAAAACTTTGAACTCCATACAGAGTTTATAGTTGAAAAGACTGAAGGTGAATCTCCCTTCGTTTTGGAGCACATAAATACCACTAATTATGTATCTAAAGATCATGATTCAAGCATTTCAAACATACATACAAGTATGCAAAAAAGACTGATAACCCACAAAATTATTCAGAAAATAAACACACCCAGATGATAGAAAACGAACTACTTACCCAAAAGAATATGTTATGAAGCTTGTATAAGAAAAGATGAAATCTTGATCAAAATTCCAACTGGGGCGATGGAGATGGAAGGTATGGAAAGTGGCGAAGAATAGAAGTCTGAAAAGGTCAAAGTCCTGGTGCTCTTCAGTTCACATCTCGGTGTTTGTCAACGATTTCATACCTTTCTAGTCGGATAATTAATAATGCCGCCTCCTTTTATTTTTGTTCCTTTTTCCCTGACATATTCTCTTTTCAAAAATTAATAATAAAAAAAAATTTATTACTTTTATAAATTAAATAAATACATGATTAATATTTTGTTATTTTTGGAAGGGCAAACAAATACTATTGGTATTGGAGCAGCAAGGGAAAACTAAGTACAAAGATTTGAGGGTCCAGGAGATTTACGTTATGTTTTTAAAACTTTTTTTACAAAGGAAAGAAAGGTAACAAGAGACAAAAGTAAAAAAAAAAAAAAAAAACTCCTTTTGAAACCTTTTTAAGGAAGAAATGAAAAAATAATGATAAGTTTTTTCCAAAAAGAATGTTATTAAATTCCGTTAAACAAATTATTAAAATTAAAGAATTATCCAAAGTAAAAAATAAAACAGACCAATCAAAAAACTAAACCAAAAATGAGAAACAAAAAGATAGCATAAACATTATTATTTTCATTCATTTTTAAGCAATAAGTACTTGAAAATACGATTTATTTTTTGGAAATGTGTATATATATATATATATATATCATTCATAAAAGGATAAAAAGTTTATTATAGAAACTTTTATCCAATCAAATATGTTAATGCTTCATGGATGGAATGGAACCATCAATACCTAACATGTATTTTAATAAGTAGTTGCTTACATTGAAAGTTTTGTATTAAAAAAATAAAAATTGACTTAAAGCATGATTGATCTAACCCAAAAATAAATAATTCAAATTTAAGATGTTTCTCAGTTTAGGGGGAAAAAAAGGAATTTTTTTATTTATGTTTTTTAATGGGAAGAAAATAGAATGAAATAAAATAAATTTGTAATGTTATCAAGCAAAAGATAAAAGAAAATAAAAAATGTTATTTTTACAAATATGTTTTTATTAATGTAAAAACTCTTGTAAGCATTGTTTATAAGGTTATGAATTTTCACTCCTGATATGAATATGAGATAATATTTTTCTTAATTGTTTTCTTTCAAGATCTACATGATTTTATTTTTGTTGATTTAATCATCAGGGAATAAGAGATAAAGCTTTGAATCGGTCAGACATAAGGTTTGTTTGGCATATATATATATATATATATATATATATGAGCGATCAAATGAAAATCACCCTTATTTGTGTAAACCATATAAACCAATCTCATTCATCTATTTTCTTGATCAATGGTCAAGATTATTTTAGGTTATATTAGGAAATTAAAAATAATTATTTTATAATTCCTATAAGGGCAAAATGGTAACTTTGGTAGTGGTTTTATTAATGGCAACCATATCATGTATATCGTAATATTAATAAAACTAAATCATTTGTAAAATAATGTATTAATTTTATGTTCAAATATTATAAGTAAAATTATATCAATCATTAAAATAGATCAACAATAAAAATAAAACACACTATAATCAATTTAACATAATGAAACTTTTTGAATAATAATAATAATAAATTTACTACTATATTTCATGAACAAAATGGTTTCATAGTTTCATCAATATACAAATCAACGTAATACTAAATGAGACATTTGTCATTTTTATGTTATTGGTAGATGGATCCGTTTCATTTTGATAATGAAATTGTTTCATTGTTCACTAATTACATAAAATTTTCTTAGAAACCATGAAATGGTTTCACTTTCTTCAATCACCCATTTCATCAGTCAGCATGGTTTGATGAGTCATTTGTCATTTCAAGCTATTGATAATGAAATTGCTTCACTTTTCGCTAATTACACAGGTTTTTCTTATCTTTTTGAAATGGTTTCACTTCTTTCACGCACCCATATCATCATCCACTCATTTCATGATGCACCCATTTCGTGTTGCACCTATTTCATAATCGTTTTCACTTATTTCATGCACCAATTTCACCATGTATGAAACCGGTTTCATGAACTTTTTTGATTATATTACTGATTTCATGGATTTATTAATCTAATAACTTACGATTTTCATGAATTTTGGCAATAATAAACCGAGACACAATATAAGAAAATTTAATTTTTAATATTATAATTTAATTAAATATCTAAATGTTACAATTTATAAAATTTCATTTCTTACGTTACCTTAATTAAGATTTATTAAGGGCAAATTGCATTAAAAAGTAATGTACTTTCATCTGATTCCTATTTTGGGTAACATACTTTTAAAACCTTTATTTTGGTACCTCAATTGTAAAATATCAATCTTTTAAGTACATGGTCTACCTGATGACTTACAAATGTTGACTAGGATCAGGTTTTTATTGATGTGACATTGTTTATTTATTTTATCAATGCCAACTAAGAAAAAAAATCCATGTCATTTTTAATTTTTTTTAGATATCTGTATTTTCTTCAATTAAGGAAAATTCCACATCATTTTTTTAATTTTTTTTAAATTTGTATTTTTCAATTAGAAAATCCATGTCGTTCTTTTAATTTTATTCTTTTGTGAAATACGTATTTTTCAATTAAGAAAAATTACATCTTTAGGCCTATTATTTGTTTAAATTTTAATTAACTAAACAAGATCAAATATTAAAAACATTTATAATCATTGCTAAACATTTGATAAGTTAATTAACAAAAATATTCCAGATGGTTAAATATTTTACAAAAATGACATATCAATTATAATAAAAGGGCAATAACATAACACTGCTATCAATTATAAACCAAAATGTTACTATACTTCGTTAATGTCCAACCAATATTTACACCCGGCTCCACTTAGTCCTTTTAGACGCAGTTTCTTCCCCTTCTTTTGCTTCAACTTCAAATAAGAAAAAAAATCACGTTAATTACCTAATGACTTTTGAATAACAAATCGAAAAAATTTAATAAAAAAAACATATAGAATCACAAGGTTTACTTACCACAATCGGTGGAATTGGACCAACCCTTTCCCTTTGAAGTCCTGCCGCTTGAACCTCTCCTTGAACCACCTCTTAAACCCTTACTTGAACCACTGCCTCTAGGCCTACCAACCGGATTTTTTTGCATAGAAGGTGCATTCTTTTTCTGGTTTTTACAACCTCTTGAATTATGTCCATCCTCCCAACAATTTTTGCAAGTCATCTGCCTTCCTGTTCTTCCTACCTCATTATGTCTAAAATTGTTGGTCCTACTTTTACTACCACCTTCACATGCATCCTTCCGTCTAGACATTGAAGGTCTTCTGGGCATTCTTCTAAATTTTGGTGGTAAAGGCTTGACAAAATTTGTGGTTGGCCAAAGCCTAACACCATTCAATGGATTGACCATATGGTTGTATGTATTTATGAAACATGATTTTGAAGAAAAGGGAGATACATACTTATCTGGGTCTCGATTAATGAAATAGATAGCCGCAACTGCGTGAGCACATGGAATTCCAGAGACTTGCCAAATCCTACAAGTGCATGTCATTTTATCCGTATCGACAACGTATCTGTCAAGCCCCTTTTTTGCTTCAAAGAGAGTCCCGCCATTCGGGACAACCTGCCAAAATCTAAGMGAATAATAATAATGTAATAAACATATTAGGTAAATAATTTATCGCATTTATGAAACAAATTAATAAAAAAACATACCTCGTTTGATCTTTGTTTATCTCCACTTTCTTTTTGATTGACGGACAAATGTTACCATTCCATTTCTCAACTTTCTTGGCAATCTTCTCAAATCTTTCCATGATGGTCAATCTTRTCTCTTCAAGCATTGTTATTATAGGTTTTCTTCTTGTTGAAACAATTAATGATTTAAAACACTCACTAACTCCATTCTCAACCGCATCACACGATGTATCGGTCTTGAAAAAGGCTCTTGACCATGTGTTTGGATCTCTTTCCATGAGATGATCATAAGCTTCATGACTTAAGCCTTTCACTTCTTGCATTACACATCTAAATTCCTGAGGTGTACCCGCTTTTGATGCAGCCCAAAATAATGACCTGAATTGGATTTCGGTAAACCTTTTCCTGAAATTTGCATAAACGTGCCTAGCACATTGTCAATGTTCAGCCAGTGGGAAGACTTCTTTTACGGCTTCAATAAGTCCCTACGTTTTTACATTGATAACTAATCAGTAAAAATCATAAAAGTAGATAACAAATTAGTAACAAAAAAAGTAATACAATTAGATTAACTTATGTTGATCTGACATTAATGTCACCCCCAATCCATCTGTCAATCCAATGTCTTGCATCAAATATTTCAAGAACCACTTCCAGCTATCTTTACATTCTACTTCAACTACATCCCAAACAAGTGGGTAGATTTGATTGTTCACGTCCCTGCCTACCACGCTTAATAGTTCTCCTTTGAACTGTGTGCTGAGTTGATGTTGCAGATTGAACCATCATTAATGGTTTATAACTTTCCCATTTGGTTACATTTGGTTTCATTTGGTTTATCATGCAGCTAAAGGTTTTAAACATGATCTACATATTTTCAACACATTATATCTAAATATAAACCAATCAGTATTTCGTTAACTGGTGTTGATCGTACTAGAGTTTTCTCTCTTATAGAAACATTATTGCAAAGAAAGACCCTACTTAGATGGCCCGTTATAGACCTGCATGGACTATAGCTTCCTATGAGTGAGAATTCAGTATCATGTACATACAGGATGATGGCAGCTGATTTTGGACCATGTTCATTACTTTTCTTCCAAATTAAGGAGAAAGTACCTTAAACCAATTAAACCAAACCAAACGAACCCAGTATGTTCCACCCAGAGGTGGGGTTTGGGGAGTGTAAGATAATCTCTATCCCCAAGTGTAGAGCGGCTGCATTCGTGAAGA